TATATATATATATATATATATATATATATATATATATATTCAGTATGTATGTATGTATGTATGTGTGTGTGTGTATGTATGTGTATATATATATGTATGTATGTATGTATGTATGTATATATGTATATATACACACACACATTGTCAGGAACCTATGTTTAAATGTAGTATATCTTGCTGAACAATTGTCTTCTTATTTTTTACAGAGCACCGAAACCAGGGTAATAACCGAGAACAAAAAAATGTGAGCCAAACTATAGTAGCTCCCCCATTTCCGTCTTTTCCTGTGATCCACACTAAGAAGCAAAAAGAGATTAAGGACCATCACTTGCTAAAAGTAAGTTCTCCCTTGTCTTCTTAATGCATTTGTGATGTGTTAGCACAGATTAGGTTACCAGCAACTTATCCAACCAAATATTTTTATCATAAATGCAGTGGTGGGTTTCAAAAAAAATTAGAACCTACTCTGTAGGTGTGGCCTGTTTGTGGGAGTGGCTTAGTGGTCATGTGACTGGGTGGGAGTGGCTTGGTGATCCTGTGACCAGGTGGGAATATTTGGCAGTCATGGGACTGAGTGGGAGTGGCTTGGCAGTTATGTGACCGGGTGGGAGTAGCTTGGCAGTCATGTGACTGGATGGGAGTGACCAAGTCGATGTCACTGAATTCTTTGCCCCAAAGAATGACCTACAAAAAGAAGATATAAAAAAAGGAAATTTATTATTTTGTGCACTTACTAGTTAAATAAGAATAAAATAAGTACACAAAAAAATAAAACAGTTACTTAGAGGAAATATGGCTGTCCTTGCCAGTCTTCAACATTACTGACCACACTCTTCCAGCTCCTCTGCCTCTTACCTGTTGGTCAGGAGGTCCCATACCGGAATGCTCCCTCCCCTCTTTCGTTCTTTCACTCACCCCGCCCATCCGTACCATGCTGCCGAAAAGTTCTCAGAAGAAGAACCAGAAGAAGAAAGAATTGGTGAGTGGCTGGGATGGGGGAGGGGAGGATGTTGGGAAGAGGGAAGAAGCAGTGGGGCTGCTGGAAGAGTGTGTGCGTGTGCACAGGCTGTGGGTTTTTTAAATGTCTGAGTGAAGCCAGGAAGAGGGAAGGGGCAGAGGGCTGGAAGATGCTATAGGAACACACACTTCCAGCCCCTTTGCCTCTTCCCTCTTCCTGGCTTCACTCAGACATTTAAAAAACCCACAGCCTGTGCACACACAAGACATTTTTAAAACTCACAGCCTATGCACAGCACACAATTTCCAGCCCCTCTGCCTCTTCCCTCTTCCTGGATTCACTCTGACTTTTTTAAAACTCACAGCCTGTGCACACACAAGACATTTTTAAAACTCACAGCCTATGCACAGCACACAATTTCCAGCCCCTCTGCCTCTTCCCTCTTCCTGGATTCACTCTGACTTTTTTAAAACTCACAGCCTGTGCACAGCACACAATTTCCAGCCCCTCTGCCTCTTCCCTCTTCCTGGATTCACTCTGACTTTTTTAAAACTCACAG